CCTGAAAGGCTCTTTACGTTTTTCTATTTTGTATTTATTTTACATCGAGGGCGACAGGGACAAAGGCTTCTTCAGTTCTATCTGACCACTAGGAAATTCTGGTATTTAGCCTCAAAGTGGGTGGTACCGTAGCTATGGACTAATTTGTTAGTTTCACCTGAGGGACACTTTTGTCTGGGTGTCCTTTGAAATGAAACTGTGGTCGACGTTATAGGTGGATGAAAGGTCGTGTCTCAAACCACCACCTCTATTGAGAGATGGTTTCTCCAGGTTGACGTAGATGGCTTCCTTCACCCCTCTCTCAAAGCATCTCGTCTTTGTCTTCTCTGGCCAGGATATGTACATCCTCCTCAAGTGTGTCCTTTTGTCCTCAAGATGTAGATGAACAGCTGAGTCCTGCCCTGAGGAGCTGGCTCTTCTGTGTTGTTGCATACGCTTGTACAGTGGTTGTTTGGTTTCCCCAATTACTCCAACACCGTATTGTCAAAATTCATTCATTAGTTCATTCATAGATCTTCCATCTCAAGTCCATCACTCAAGGACAAGGTCCATCCTGGACAGTTTACAGTCACACTGGGCCTCCTCCCAGATGTTGTCTTCGTCGGCCGCCTAGGCATCTTTACTGGCAATTTACTCTTTACTTCTTTTTCCTTTGCAGCTGAGCACTGTTCCGTGGGAACATCTGCTCGGTGCCTGTCATTCTAAGATAGATGTTCTGTACCTTCTGTCTAATTCCCCCTCTTCACTGTTCCAACCTCTGCTCATTTATCTCCATCATCTGTCCAGTGAGCGCTGCTTAAATCCTTTTTATATGCGCTCTTCAAATTCTCCTTCACACCTACTTGTGTTTTCAGAACAGGTGCATGTAGTACAGGTTTCTTTTTAATCCAACCTTGCTTCATTAGCATGTTCCTTTTTAAAGTACTGCACTGCAGTACACGGAAAATGCACCACAAAGTGGAGTGGCTAATAAAATGGTTATAGCCTGACAAAAATGATTTGTTTAGACCCATGAAGCCAACAAAATGTAATTTATTTGTTTTCTTGATGATACATTTACTGTGGGTTTATATATATATATATATGTTTTACTTGTTATTGATGTACTAAGCTAAGTACATCTATGGTACGCAGTAAAAATAATGTAAAAAAAAAAAATCTCCTGCTAACTGACACGGGGAAAGCATCAAGGTTTCCTGTGTAAATCTTTAAGCCTTGATCACATGACCTCGTCTGTGTTGGACAACAACAATAGAAAAGCAAAGCTGAGCCATGAAGCAATTACAGAAACACAATTATAGAACTGAAATCATTTCCAGGCAGCAGCAGTGGGCGTCAATTATCACTCAACACACACACACACACACACACACACACACAGGCAAAAACATTGCCATCACTACGACTCGGGCAAAATTCTCCAAATGCACATCGAGGTTCCAAACAGACAACGGCTGCAAAACATCAGCCAGACACGGGCTCCTAACGAACAGACTCATTAGTTAGTGTGTAATCAGCCTGAGCTGAAATAGAAACAGCTTTGACTAATGACCGTTTACAGGCACAAGGAGCAGGAAGTGATGACGAAAGATGAGTGAGCAGAGAAGGACGGACGGACGGACGGACAGAGTTAGAGACATGAGTTCATTCACTGGCTTCTCTGCTATTATCACAGCTAACTGCTAACTGCTAACTGCTTTTCAGTGTTGTTGAACACTGAGAACACTGTTGTTCAAAAGGGGATTTGGATCAAAAGAAGAGATTCCAGTTTGCTGAAAGTCATTTCTAGAAGGGGATGTCCACTTGTGTTCTTGTCCACTTGTATCTTCATACAGTTGTCCATCTCTGGTCTACGATGTGTACATGATTAGCTCAGATGTTTTCGTAAACGTTTGCTCTTTTTTGTCACTAATTCAATAGTAAGTTTCAGGTTAATCAGCTTCTGTGCTTTAAAAGTAAATAGTCCTCCAGACGAGTCGTACCTGGGAGCACAGACATTTAATCTGCTGCTGAAATATAATCATTAAATATAATGATGTTTAACTGAATTTGTTGAGAGATCACCGAAGCTAATCCATTCCCATTAGGTAAAGATGTCACTGATTTTAGAAACACCTCAGGGATTAAAATATATTTCATTACAAGGAGCTGCGCTCAAAAAGAGTCCCTCTGACAAAACCCTCCATAATCTACCAGCTGCTAAACTGACATTAAAAAGGATTCTGGAATTATCCTGATTTCATTTCAATATTTTAGTTCTTGTAATGTCTCTGTCTTCCTTTTATAAACCAACCATCAGAAAGTCATTTGTTACGCTGAGATACATCATCCAGGTCTCATTGCTTTTCTAGATAACACTAACTCTATCACTCATATCACTATCCTTAGGCCAACCACTAATCTCAATCTCAATCCCAACCCAAAGTCTTACCCAACCTAACCACGCCATAAACCCCTACCCCTGGCCCAAAACCTTACACAAATCGATCCCAACCTTTAACCTTTAACTTTACCGTGACAAACCCTAACCCTACCACTAATCCTAATAGACCTCAAACCCAACTGCTAAATACTTTTTGAGGAAATGACTATTGGTATTTATTACACTGATATGTTTATATGAACAGGTAATTCCAGTATTGACTTTTCCACTCGGTTCATTCATCATCACCGTCTTCTCTGCCTTTCAATAAAGTCACACATTATTCCCTACGGTCGAGCTCCTCATTAGACTTTCATGACTCCTGTCACTGCACATCTACAGGTACGGATTATTGACGGCGGCGGCGGTGTGACATCACAGAATAATTAATTAAAGCCTCTCCAAACAGCTTTACTTTTGTTTGGTTTTGAATAATCGTTGCCTCGTTCGTGCAGCAGTGAGTCGATACCTAATAGCACTGCGTCAAATAAACAGGGCAACATTTTTATGGTCATACAGAATCAATACCAAATACAATACGTTATTTTTTCCTCCTACATCAGTCTGTTCTTTTAAATGGTCCGGTCTGTTCTCCATCACGGATAATGGCCCCAATAATCTCATAACGACCTCGGTTTGAGCTTTCATCCTCGGAAAAACTGCACAGAGGAAAAACCTTTTTCAGAAATATATCCGTTCTCCATCAGCAGCAAATGCATTTGTGGTGACAATGACCCAGAAGTTCTCTCTGGATCACAAACAGTCGGTGTTTGTGTTTGTCTATAAACAGCATTCTGTCGACTTCTCTTTTCTCCTTGAATTCTACGAGATTTAACTACGATGTTTCAACAATCAACGCATCCCGAACTATAAAATAACTAGGGACGTCCGATATTAACTAATCTAATCTAATGTAGTCCATACCCATGTGGTCCAGTTCTAATGTCACCCACGGCGGTCTACATATTCCATACCTTTACTTCTAGTCATTGTCAGTGCAGTGTCCAGACATGTAGTCGAAAACTGCTCAGACAGACCATCAGAGCTGAGAACCACACTGCACTCAGACCCTGCAAAAAACAAAACCAAAGTCCCTGTGAGGATGAGTCTGAGCAGGATCAGCTGGGAAGTGACGAGAGTGGAGAACGGATGACTAACAGCTTCTCCTCCTCCTCGTCTCCTCCTTCAACAGCTCCTCTTCAGTGCCCTTTGATCAAAGCAGCTCATCTGCCAACTGCTCCAGTGAAGTGTTCTCCACTCAGGCCACACAGCCTGGCCGTGTCCTTCAGTGGGACTCTGTGGTCCACGTTAGGACAGAGGTCGCCGACCTCACACACCTGGATCATTTCACCGTCTAACTCTAATTCACCAAGAGCAGCAAAAACATTTCCGCGACTTAAATTAAGGCGAAACAATTTTTTTTTTTTTTTTTTTTGGGTTGTCTCGCATCATGTTTCCCAGGAGTTTACGAATAATGTCTACTGACTTGGGTCGAAGGTTTTTTACTTTTAAAATATGGGTTTGATATTCTGTGTGAACCTTAGACCATTCATCCCATTTGAACAGAATCAGAAGTGCTTATATTGCAGAGCATATGTTGTATATTTCTGTTTTAATTATCTTGCCAAAAAATATATATTGTTTTCAGATCGATCCACCACTGGGAACACGAGGAAACTGTCGGAGAAACAACAAAGAGGTGTTCCTCCTGCCAGAGAAATCTCTGGAAGAACGCTTGTATTGATCATTGGTGTTTGTTATGCACATCAGACGTCCGGGTTCAACACCAAGAATTTAAAGTCAGCAAATGAGTTGAGTTTGGACGACGTGCAGCTCTCAGTGGACCGCTGGGCTTCAAAACAAAGTCTCTGCAGTTTTTTGGATGTCTGGAGACAACGGTTTAAGAACTGACCGTTTGTCTGGCTGTTGTGAATTAAATATGAACCCCACGAAACCAAGACGAGCAATGCTGACTGAAGGAAGAAAGTTAGCTGGAGTGAGGAGAGAACTCCAAAGACTGGAACTGACAAGGGGGAAAAAAAGGAAGAGAAAGAGACGTCAAAGTCTTTAGAAGAAGGAGAAAGAGGAGGAGGAGGAGGAGGAACTCCTTGATACCATATATGACAACAGTACGTTTACCGCTCAAGTCGCTTTTGGTTTAAAATACCTACATATATACAAAACCTGCTAATCCTGTAGTAAATATTACCAAGTCGCTTTTGGTTTAAAATACCTACGTGCTAATCCTGTATTAAATATTAAAAGGGTTCATCATGAGATTTTTAATCTCAGTGGAATTCAACTGGATAAAAGGTAAAAGCAAAACAGCTAGCTTGATTATAATATGACTAAATTCATCAGGCGAAAACTTAGTTATCTGGAGTTAGAGATTAGAGTTATCTGCTCTAAGTTTACATAAACCATAGATGCAAATATTGGAATAGAGATGTTAAAAAAAGTTTTCAATCTTAAAAAGTGTTCTTTAATTCAAACGATGGAACTCGTTGTCGCAGAAATTTCGCAGAAATTTAAATGGCTAATTCTTGTCTGAACGGCCTTTTCTTTATGTAGGGCCTTGAACCAAACTGACACTTTTTATTCTGGCAAAACAGTTTTCTACGTTAGTAATACTGCTGCCTTGAGGCTTTGTTCCTTAAATACTTGCTATGAACAATCAAGGCAAATGGACTCACACAGACACAGTTCAAGCAGCCACACTGGTTCGAGGGCAGCGATGAGTCATCCATTTGTGGTAGACATTCACAGAGTGACTCATCACTTTCCTAATCGTGTAATTTTGTAGCAGCGTCCACGAATTGAGTATCAATTCAGATGAAGTACTTATTTAAACTGGGTAATACTAATTAAGTTGGACTCACAAACACTCCTTCATCAGCCATCTCTCACGGTCCATTCCTTGTTCCTAGTTGCAGGCAGAATTTGGACGGCCCACGGGCTGTGAGTTTGAGACTCCTGTTCTAAACCGTACCCTGAAAGTATGTTACAACAGCAATTCATTCATGTCTTCTCGACCTGGACCATGAAGTGATTTGTAGACCAGTAGCTGAATTTTCCGGTCTGTTCTATAGCTGCCTGGGAACCAGTGTCAGTCGCTCAGACTTAAATTCCAAACCAGCATCTGGTATCAGTGGGATTTACAGGCACGTAGAGGACTTAATTCAAGGAATGAATTCAACGAAATTGTCTAGTAATGAAATTGTAAAGCGTGTACTTGACATCAGATGAGGGATTGTGGCAGCGAGTGTCATATTTTCTATGATCAGATCAAACTGGTGCTGTTTTATTAACCTTTGCAGAGAAAACGCAAAAACCAAACAAACAAAGAGTCATTGAAAAAGTACTTGAATCAATCACGTCCTTTGATCCTTTGAAGCTTTCACACTTGGAGGAGTGTAAAGAGGAAGGGAGCGCGGTACTCAATGGGTTCAAGTATAAAGTTAATAGGTTTCCTAATGAAATGTACTGAAATACGTAAGAGATGAGCTGAAAAAACAAAAGATGATATTAGACAAATCCACAGCATTTGAAAATGACCCTGTGATACGGTATTAGCGACGATTAGCTTGATGACTCCTCCCTCCTATCCACTCCTCGTCATCCTTCTCCTCCTGATTCAGGAGGTGTGTAGCTACGAGGCACCAGAGGAAGAGGTTGACGTGTTTGAAAGGAAGGCGTGTCCTGCGTTTTTGACCTTTATCAACGTCGCCTACTTGGCTGGAGTCACGGTGGAGCTGCCCTGTCACTGCAAACCTAAGCAGGTAGAAATAATGTCAAGTTAAATGTAGGATCAGAATCAGAACCATCTTTACTGTCATCACACAACGTTCAGCAAAAAGGTGGAGAGATTTCCAACCAACGCTCAGGACAAATATAGAGTTCTCAACACTCATAACACAATAGACAGTTATATGGTACCAAGATGTTTTCCTATAATACACTGCAGATGCGAAAGCTAGGTGAACGTTAATATTTACTGCCGGCTCTCTGTGTGGTGAGAGAAATTGTTGTCTGCATTAAAATTTCAGACTCTCCGCTGCTGTGACCTCTGCCATCGATCGGCAGGTCAACATCATTGATTAGCGGCAGCTTTGTTTTGGTCACCTTGCCCTCTGCCTTCCGCAGATCCAATCAGTTGTTTGGTTCTACAGAACACGTGTGGACAGCTTTGAGGAAACCAGAGCCCTGACTGATCACCATGGCAACAAGCTGCTGGACACCAGTAAGGTCCCTCACAGTGGAGACCTGCGGAGTCGATTCTCCATCCGGCTTTTCAGACTGATGATCTTCAGGGCGGGGAGTGCCGACTCTGGACTCTACCTCTGCGGTTCTGCCCATAAAGACTTCTTCTATGCGTACGATGTGGACATCCAGGAGGCACGGAGGCTCAGCTTTAGCCCCAGGTGATAAGAACGGCATGCCAACTGTTGAGAATATCCATTTACTGTGTAAAAACTGTCAAGATCTCTTGACCTGCGACAATATGACATGAAGTGAAGATAAAGTCAAAATGAATTGAAGTAATTTTGACTAAGATTTAATTTATTAAAGAATTTAAGAACGCTGAGTGGTTAGCAAAGCTTTCATTTTCAGGACGTTCTCGTAATCAGTCAGTCCCACTGAACATCCTTTAACGACAAAATCAGTTCTAGCTGTTTCTAATGGGCTGAAGGTAAAACAATGGTCTACGGAAGCCGAGGAAAGTGACGTCTCCTTCTAAGACTCCTGAATCCAGCGATGACTGACCCTTTTGCTAACCTCACCCTATGTTTGCGTTTCTCCTAGCCTTACAAAATTAACTAGCGACAATACGACTGAGAAACCGAGGATCATCTCCACCAAGTCCATGTACCAGGTCTTCACCCACTTCCGTCCGTGGTCGGTGTGTGATCGCTGTGGTGTCCCAGGGGAACAGGTCCGTGCGGGCCTCTGCTACGTCCACTCCAAATACCTGCATGTACGCTACAGACAGACCAATCAGACGGCTGCCTCCTGTGGATCGGGGGCGGTGCCAATGGCTTTTGGCAGCCTCAAGCATGGCCAGGTGGAAGCCGGGTTGGAGGTTAAAAGCTGCCAGGTGACCTGCTCCAATCAAACATCCTCCACCTCAAAACTCTCCACCGTGATGAAGTTTCTTGGTTTCGGGTAAGAAGAGTCGAAACGGAAACATTTCACCTTCAAATATATGTTTAGGTTCATTTCTTTTTTGTTGTTTGGTAGTTCCTCATCGGACCTGGAGTTACCAGTGTTCTTCCTTAACCATCCAGAAGATTCTGTTCTGACCATGGGTTGCCCCGGAGCACAAGCAGACATGGCAGTAGCCTGGGATCGAGGGTCTGAGCCCATATATCGGTCCAAACATTTGTCAGGCGGTAACCTGGGACCTCAGTCTTCCAGGCTGCAGATAGACACCGGACATCACCTGTTGTTCAAACCTGCACAAACCGAGGATTCAGGTAGTGCTGCTCTACCCAACCTTCACCTTGAAACCTTTAACTTCATTGTTTGAGATCCTGTAACTCTTCAAAAGTACCTGTACTGACCGTGTACTTCACACTCAGGTGTTTACTACTGCTGGATTCAGGGTCGGCCGGCTGCTCGGATAAATCTACTGGTTCACGTCCGATTGGGGAAGCGCCGGTCAGTGATGTCACACCCAGAATTTCCCAGAGCTGTCAAGACCGTGCTAATATCGTACGCTGTCATGGTTGGTGTGTTTTTGTTGCTGGTTTTGGGCAGAGCCGTGATGAGGCACAGACGAGACTCTACAGTAAATCATTTGGATTAAACACAAACAGTACATGTAGGTGCAATATATTTGACAGTCGGGTGGCTGAGGCAAGTGAGCGATCATCAACCCTTAAAGTTTCCATTTGGCTTACATTTTCCTGATAATGGTTATTCGAACACATTGTTTATTCTTGCATAGCATTTGTAAGGTTATTTTGAGCATTTTAGAGAAGAGGCTTCTAACAGGTAGCCTGTGATCAGTGGGATGGTGAAAAACATGAAGCTGTCATCCTATCACCTGGGATAAAAGTACAGCCAGAGTCAAACTCTTTGCCATCACCTGACCTCGTTCACACATATAAACTTCACACAGCACATGTTCACATACTCCATACTCCACAGCAGGCCACATGCTGGTTCGGTGTGGTTTGTAATGAAGTGTCACACCTGGATATTGAAGCACCTGCAGGTGTTGAAGTGTCACTTGAAAACCTCGGTGCAGCCCAAGAAGAGCAGCAGGGAGAAGATCCAGGTTCTCTTCAGACCCAGACATCAGGTGGCTCCTCATTAAGTTGTCTTTCCAAACCTGAGAGCCGCAGGGATAAGCACCCCGACACCTCCTCCAGCTGTGGCCTCCTCTTCGTTCTCCTCCTCACCTCATCCTCTCTCCATTTCCTGCACCGTGGGTCTGCGCTGACCCAGTCGTGGCCTCCGGCGATCGCACAGTGGATTCACTGAAAGATGAGACGACCTGTAGGTGGCTGAGACGGACAAACACATTTTATGTTTTTAATTAATTTAAAAAAAAAAGAAAAGCTATTTATGCTGTAGTTTGCAGACTTGTTCTGCAGGGTTTCCTTCAATAAAGAAGACATAAAATCACAAATCCATGTTATTTCCCGACAAAAAAAAAGGCAACACCATTTTACAAAACATAGACTCGAGTATTTTTGATCTTTTTTTCGAAAGCAGACAGAAATACTGAAGACAACAGTGTCTGTCTTTCAAATATATGTTTCTGCCCTTCAAACTTTACTATCAGCTTTTCCTAAATTTTGAATTATGATGTTCTGGAGGACTTTTTTCCTCTGTCCTAATCCATTCCTCTTCACGTCTCATCCCCTGGACGGCGAGTCGTGCTGATTTGCCGCATATCTTTATACAGTGAAGGAGGAACTGATTTTCAGTTGGACTGAGGAGGAGCCCAGTGTGAGTGTGGACGGTCAGCAGAACTCCAGCTCTCAGAGCTGATGCCAGACTCGCTGCTCTGTGGGCGTGGACGTTCAGTCGAATGAGCTGACACAGATCTGCAGCAACGCAGGAACATTCCACTGTACCTCATTCACCCGTGATCGATTCCTCAGATTTGATCTTATGTTTAGCTTTAGAAGTTAGAAAATGTTTTTTTATCACAAAAATATTGAACATTTTAAAACAATTATTTACTTTAAAATACCGCAATATAGCAAAACTCTTGCAAGATTGGAATAAAAAAAATATCCGCAATGTAGTGAGGGAGTGAAAGGTGAACCACAAAGTAGCGATGGATTATATTAAAATATGTATTTCATGCTTGTTATTTTCACACTGACAGCCGCTAGAGGGCACTCTAGGCTTGTGTGCCAGTATCTGCTACTCCTGTACCATTGGAGATTTACATGTTCCTTATTGCCACACTGACAGCCACTAGAGGGCACTGTTGCGACCTTTACTCTGCAGCGACTTATAGTCCAGAAAATACGGTAATAATTTGAATGAACCAAGTTTTATTCAAGTAACGTGTCTGGGAAACATTTTCTCTAAGTCAAAATACCCAAACAGCTTTGGTTTTTGTTTTAAATGCTCCTGTTAAATGACAAGTTACAAGTTACCCTCGGCCACAGAGGCACCAGGCCACTTCATTTGTCCAATTACCAACTCCCTCCCTGCCCCCCCCCCCCTCATTATTAGCTGGTTTACCTGCCAGGTTGCTGAGGGAGAAGAAGATGAAGAGGACAAATCTGGACCACACACCAGTCATTAATCACCTCGTTCACACCTACTAAACAGGGAAACGCGACGCCACCTGTCTGCAGGAAGAATAATGAACAGAGGTTGATTTCCTGACCTTGTTTTTTCGTACAAATACAGACAGGACATGGACTTTTTTCCACACCTATTCTGACGTTTCTGTTTACCCAGATATGGATGCACTCGTTTATGTGTGTGTGTGTGTGTGTGTGTGTGTGTGTGTGTGTGCGTCCTGATCAATTCGCCGCAGTTGTCTTATTTTTGACAGATATAATTAGCAATAACACGCACATCCTTCATTTGACGGTGGGAGAAGAAAATCAATTTGAAACGGTTAAAATTCTCGCTGCGTTGGTTTCATATTGATTAACCTTTTTTTTTGTTTGTTTGTTTTAAAGTGAGGATGTGTTAAATTGCAGTACAGTGAAATAACTAATCACTGCTTCAAGTTTGTTTTTTATTTTGCGATCAAAACTAATGAGTTATTTATTATAACATCACATACTCAGATGGTATCTGTAGTATAGATTAGAATGAGATGAGCTAAAAATATTTTTTTTCATACAGTTGTGATTATTGTACCAAAATAAATATAGATTTTAATCACTAAAAGGGCGAATGGTGTGACATCATTACAACCAAATGAACCACTTTTTTCCCACAGTTCCACTCGTGTTGTTATCAGGTAAAGTATCACAGAACAGTTCCTTTATGGAAATACTACAATACAGCATATTTGTCAGAAGACAGCGTTTCCATTTCACGGCAGTATTCAGTTATCATTAACGTCCCGCGGGGGGCGACTGTGTTTCTAAGATAAACTGTTTGAATTAAAAACCCAACAATGATGCATTGGCTGAACCTGAGGACGGACACGCCGCTTCATTAGAATCAAATGTATTGTAATGAAATACATGAGCGCTTCCGATGAGTACAGAGAAAAAAGAAACACAACATAAATATCTTGCGACCTATGATGATTTATGGCCTGCAGCTCCCGCCGCAGCCAGAGATGGTGCTCTTTAATCTGCTCTGAACGTCGTTTATATGAAGAACTACAGCTGTGGGTTCCACGTGGACCTGGTTCACTCTGGAGATTATGATAATAATGAAATATCAGGCACTCTCACCACTGAATGCATTGACTCTGAAACACGCACTGCTCTATGTCACGTCTTCAGAACATGTAATAGTGCACACCCTGTGGCCCAGCAGAGCCCGACTACTGGCCATTCAGACCTCCATCGTTTCTATGTCCAGTGCACACCCTGTGGCCCAGCAGAGCCATTCAAACCATTCAAACCTCCATCGTTTCTATGTCTTTATTTATCTTCCCTCCTTCACATTCACTTCCAAGGTTGTTTGTCGTGAACCTCGTCTGTGTGGAATCTTGAACTTTGCACAGAGATCTTTGGGCTAATATAAAGGTGATTAAACCTCTCACACTGGATGATTGGCCTTTGTGAGACCCTCAGAGACTCGGGGCGGGGGTGATATTTAAGCTTCAAGCGGAAGACGTTCACATTAAAGTCTTACCTGGATTTAACTCCACAATTTAAATAATCCCAATTTGATTATCACGGCTTTTCATTTCCTGTCTGTCATTTACATTCCTCTTCTTTTTCTTATCTCGTGGTTTGGTCTTAAAAATGTATTTTTGACATTTATTAGATCTTTGTCTAATAGTAATAATAATAATAATAATGATTATTATTATTATTATTATTGTTGTTGTTATTATTTGTTATTAATATTGTTGTTGTTGTTATTATTTGGGCCGTTTTTTTCTTCAAAACATTTTCTTTCCACTAACAAGAACAATTACCAACCCGACAAACTTTACTCCATCGACTCTCACTTTGACCTCCTTCCTGTCTTCATTCTCAACATTTTCTTTCTTCCACCGCTGTCATCGCTGCACTTCCTCCTCGCTACAATCTCATCATCTATTAACTGTCAATTTGTCTGCATCACTCCACTCCACGCTCCTCTTCTTCTCTCTTTTTGTTGTTGTTGCCTCCCAGCTGCCTGCAGATGCTGCGCTCCTTCATTCTTCTTACTTTACTCCAACTCCACTTTATGAAAAACAATCCATCAAACGTGTCTCTCCTCCGCGGCCCAGCTGCATCTTATTTTATTGTTGTTCCACTCACCTCGGGTGTCATCTCGCTGATATTTTAGTGATCCCTACGGCGTTCGTTTCCTTCCTGACGATTTGGCATCTAAATTAAACATCCAGATAGAAAACACAGGGCAGTCATTGTTTATGCTTCTGTTATGTGATGATGGACTTACTGAGGGGGCGGGGGCAGATGGAGGCTTGGCCGAGGGAGAAGCACTAAAGAACTCATTATCTCCATCTTTTTCATACTCACTTAATTTTCTGCTTTCTTGGAACTCAGACACATTTGCAGCCGCTGGTATTTCACCGAATACAGTCTTTGGTGGAAATAAAGTCACAGCTTTTTAATGCAACTTATACCATATGCCCATTGGGACCTTAACTGGTTTATGTTTGACCGTCCTTCTTTCCATGTACGGAGCTTGGGAGTAGGTTGGTGCCCAGGTTGGATCCAACCAAGTCGTCTCAGGACAACCGAGCACCTGTTGAGTCAGTACAGCTGGGGATTACGTCCTCGTAGATCAAGGACTAGTTGGATACCTGGTCCAACTGGTCTTCAAACATGGACCAAAAAGTGTCAAGGTCCAGTGAGAAATCCCACTGGACCAAAGACTCATTAACTCTGAAGACAGTAACAGCATTATCATAAGCTGTGACCTTTTCTTAGTAAATACTAGATGGATGGATGGATGGATGGATGAATGGATGGATGAATGGATGGATGGAGAGATAGATTTTTTTTAATTAAAATCCATGGATGAATGGATGGATGAATGGATGAATGGAGAGATAGATTTTTTAAATTAAAATCCGAATGATTTCAATCCCAGAATGAATAGCTTTATATTTGTCACCCTCCGTGACCCCCTCCCTCCCCCGCAGTAATTACATGTACTGACCTCAGCTCAAAGATAACGGCCCTGAGGTCGAGTCATTTCACCAGTACATTTTTATTTATTTACCTGCTTTTGTTGCAGTGAATTGCTCTATTTATTTCCACCGTAAATGAAAAAGTAATTAGTAGATTCAACAACAGTCTGAACGATATGTTGAGGTCGATGACACAAAAGAGCAAAATGTGCGTCGTGAGCTGACGACCAGGTGAATACTCTGTCTGTGAGCGTGTTTGTATTTGTTTGTGCGAATCAGAGACGACGACTCTTGAATATCAATAAACAACCGAATGGGCTCGTCATTTTCCAGTAGACACAAAAACACTCTTAACTACTTCCCCTCGACAATCACTTTAGTACAGTGTTTCCCAAACTTTTGTCCTGGGCACCCAGTCACAAACATTCACGACCCAAGTCAATAGATATTATTCGTAAACTCCTGCGAAACATGATGCGAGACGACCCAAAAACAAAATCTCTTGCGACCCACCTGAGGGTCTGCGGTCTTTTCCTCTGTCAGCCACAGTGTTCCTCTTTAGTATTCTTCATCAGTCACATCTGTCGGCCATGAAGGTGAACACACACACACACACACAGGCCCAGAGAAGCTACAAGTTCTTAATGTGCAGGAAGACACACATGTTACAGCCGTGTTGGTCCAATGTCACGGCCACAGCAGTAATGAGCAGAAGTGGAGTGATGTGCCGCTGCACCACGGTGGCGTCAGGTTCATTAATGCCAAGGACAGATGCTGCGGCTCATTTCAAACCTTG